ACCTGGAACACCTACTAAGGAAGATCAAAGAAGAAAGTGCTAAGGCATACTTAATGTTGAACATAAAGAAAAAATAATGACCGCCGAGGACATGTTCAACAATGAAGAAATAGAAATAGTAAACAAATTCCCATGGCTGGGATCAATCATTGATAGAAATGGGAACTGCAGTCAGGAAATCAGAAAAAGACGAAGAATGAGGAGGGTGGCTATGAAAGAACTAGAAAAGATTCGAAAATGCAAAGATATACAACTCAGCACAAAACTTAGAATCATACAAGCCATCATATTCCCTATTACCATGTATTGATGTGAGAGCTGGACAGTTAAGAAAGATGATAGGAAGAAAATCAATTCATTTGAGATAATGTGGTGCTGGAGAAGAGTGCCAAGGATCCCATGGACAGCCAAAAGGCCAAACAAATGGGTCCTAGAGCAAATCAAGCCAGAAACCTCCCTGGAAACCAAGATGACCAAACTGAGCCTGTCATACTTCAGACACATCATGAGAAGAGAGGACTCTGGAAAAAAAACAATAATGCTGGGAAAGGTGGAGGGAAGTAGGAAGAGAAGAAGGCCACTTGCCAGATGTTTGGACTCTATTAAGGAGGTCACAGGTATTAAGGGGTTGCAGGAATTAAGCAGAGCAGTGGAGGACAGAGAATCTTGGAGATGTCTCATCCATAGCGTCACTATGAGTCAAGATCGACTTGAGGGCAGTTAACAGCGACAACAAAAGTCCTGTTTGAGAACCAGTGTGATGTAGTGGTTTGAGTGTTGGACTCTGACTCTGGAGACCAAGGTTTGATTCCCCACTCGGCCATAGAAATCCATTGGGTGCCCTTGGGTGAGTCACATACTCTCAGCTGAGAAACCCTGTGACAGGTTCACCTTAGAGCCACCATAAGTCAGAAACAACTTGAAGGCACCCAACAACAAAGTGTTATTCACATTTTTCATATAAAAACTTTTATATAAATTATATTAAGTTATACAAAATTCTTTTTTTAATATAAGGAGAATGACAATTCACCTTTTCTGACAACAATAGAAAATCATCCACTGCAATAGGAAGGGTAAATAACTGGGCAATAAAATAAAAATGGGTGTACACAAAAAAAGGAAAAATGGATTATGACTCAAATAGATGACATCGTTTCTAGATGAAGATGCGGTATAGAATGTGTAGACTTTTGAACAAAGGCTACTGAGGAAGAGTATTCTAAGCTCAGTAAGAAGCTAGAAAATGATCAAATAATATTGAGAAAATGTCCTAACTAGCAAGTAGATAAATGAGAGTATAAAGAGAAATCAGGGTGAAGGGAATAATAAAAGCATCCAGTTTGGAAAAGTAGCAAGGGCAAGAAAAGGGAGTCAAACAAAGAGAAAAGAAATGAAGGAACTGTTACATATTTATAACAATTAGGGAAAACAACAAGCTGCAGGACTGAGTATCATAATATCATGAAATTGTGGGAACCCATTAAGAAGATTAGTATAATTAAAATATGAAAACAGTGCATCTTTACAATAGTGGCCCTAAGCAGATGGGTAGGATGGCACGGGTTAAGCCCATACTATTTAGACCTGGGTTAGTCCTTGGGCCAGCATAGCAGGTATTTACACACATTTGTGCCACCATGACATGGACTTGCCAGCACTGCATGGTCTGTACTCACCTCCACTGTCCTGTCCACCCCCTCCATTAAGGTGGAAATGGCACCTGGCTACTCCTACATAACCAAGCACCTCCATCCAACATCGCAGGCCATGACCGGCATCTCAGCAGATGCAGTAGCAAGGCTGCCAGGTCTGCCAACTGTTGCTGCAGAGTTTTCTAGAAACAGCCAGTGTTTTTAGACCAGGTTAAGGCCCCTTTTGGTTGGGATCTATCTGATCTGGACCCAGGGTTAATGGTCTGTCTGCATCATCTGGACAGGATGACATGAGGCTGGAAGCAGCATGGGACTTTTTGCCCATGCGTATAGGCCCAGTGATGTACAAGTCAGACACAGGCTTTCATGTGGACAGAGAGAGACAATAGAAGAATCAGAAAGTATTAATGACAAGCATAATTGAGATTTTTTCTCACAAAACGGAGTAAGTTCAGTTTTGTTGACATCCAACTTATGTTGAGCTTTTAAAATTATATCTGAATAGTGTGGCATAATGGTTTGAGTGTTGGACTGTGACTCCAGAGAACAGGATTCGAATTCCTGCTGGGTGATCTTGGGCAACCCTAACCCTAACCCTAACCCTAACCCTAACCCTAACCCTCAGGGGAAGGCAATGGCAAACCCATTCTTAAGAAACTTGCCAAGAAAATCCCATGATTTTAGGGGCTCCATAAGTCAGAAATGACTTAAAGGCACACAACAACAACATTGTCTTTTATTCAAATGTTTATATGCTTACATGTTTAAATTTAAAAATCTAAAAATTACAGTTAATTTTTTAAAATAACTTTTATTTTTAAAAAAACCACCTAATTTAAAATTAAGATGAACTGTAAAAGCACAGGTTTTAGGGTAGCCTCAAAACCTGTTTCAGAGAGCTTCCCAGTTCCAGAAGCTAGTTTTGTGGAAGCATAAAGGAAGTTGGGGGGCTTGTCTCCCTCCTGGTTATGCAGAAAAACACAGCTCCATCTGCAGAACCGTCCCATTGCATCTGAGTCAGGTTTTTGTGCCTTTAAATCTCCTTGAGAAGGCTCTGGTCTTGAAAGGTGCTTCATGAATGATAATAACTATTCATTCTAATGAAATCCAAGTGCCTGGGACAATAAAATAATTTCATTTGCCTTTCAAATTAAACCAAGGAAAGAGCATGGTCAGGCATATTGCATACTGTAATGTCATACTGAAGATGGCACTGAAATTAGGCAGTAATATCAGCAAGTTCAGAAGAAAATACTGGGGAAGAAGCAATTTTTTCTTCTACTGAAAACAGCATAAATCTGATCATTTACTCCAGAGGGGTAAATCTGTTCATCAAGCAAGAAATTATCCAAGGAAGAAAAGAAAAAAAAAGAAGAAAAGGTCCTAAAAGTTGAGACCTGCAGAATACCAGTAAACAATGGGACTAGAGGAAAGACATGACAACCACTTACAAGAAGCCCAAAAAGATCATGGGAAAGAAGAAGAATTAAGCTGACACAAATTGTTAGTCTCAAATAGCATAGGCCTATCGAATCAATGTGATTTAACCTTAATGTAGCCTTAAACCATTCACATTGATTTAATTAGTTACTCCCTCTTCAATGAACTGAGAGGGAAAGGGAGAGAAATTACAATTGGATTTAGATCATAGTATGGAGCTCTATAGGCCTAAATACCCCCAAGGACATCAGATCTTGTTTGATGTCGGAAGTATGCTGGGCCAGTTCTGGTTATTACTTAGATGGGGAACTGCCAAGGAATACCAAACTATATTACAGAGCAAGACAAAGGCAAAGCATTTGACTTTGACAAGAGAATTCCTTGCCTAAGAAATTCACATGAAATTCATGGAGTTGCCATAAGTCAAAAGATAGTGAAGCAAATCTTCCAACTGTCCTAGTCTGATACTCTGCCATCTCATTTCTTAGCTGCTTTTAAAAGGTCTGTTTTTTGTTTCCTCCCACGTTTGTCCTTCTGAGTTAATTAATGGGAAGCCAGAGTTAGCTTGGACATGGAGAGCTTCATACCCTGCAACTGTCCAATTTGACAAGGACAGTCCAGATTAACCCTCTGCTGGCCCGCTTTCTCAGCCTTTTTTTAAAAATATCCTAGTTTCACTCCTCCCACTTCCCCTCTTTGCCCTCAGTTTACTTCACTTGCTGCAAACATAGTTCAAAGTGCAAAAGTAGTTTGGACTTAACTCAGCAGGAGGGAAGAGAGTGTGCCCTTATCAGCAGGCTCGTTCAGGTTTTATCTTTTTTCAGATTTTCCTAAACTCAGTATGTACATTTCAGGATTTTTCTACTTAATATAGAAGTTTTGTGTGTTCTTCCTTATTCATAAATTTTGTCCTTTTGCTGCCCAGCCACACACTTCTCACCACTCTGATGTTGCTTGACCACACATGTCCAAGTTTCCTTCGTTGATATATTGGAAGATTATGTTGAAAGCACGCTCATGCCCACAGCTCTATACCCCTGAATATAATACTGTATTAAAAAGGAAGAATATCAAGTGCTGCTTGAAAGAACAAAACACCTTCCTGCCACCAAAAAGGATATGCTTCACATTGATACTTGTTACTCTTTTGATTGCATATTGTATACTGGATTAATACAGTAGCCCCTCCCAATTCGCGGGTGATCCGTTCCGGACCCCCCACAAAAATGGAAGCTCACAAATATTTGAGCCCCATTGAAAATAATGGCACACACACCCATGGCATGCACACAGGGCTGCACACAGGCACACACCTCATTTCCCCCCCCTCTTATTTGCTGCCTACAAACAGGTGAGGGGCGTGGAGTAAAAGTCCACAAAAACAGAGGGGTGACTGTATTTTTTAGTAGCAGAAGAATATGGAAAAGCATTCCTATTTCCCACCCCCACCCCCAAGAAAACGGGTCTACAGATGCCTGTTAAGAGTTTCAGTACCCTAAAGGGTACCAAATCCCACCTGATCTTGGAAGGTTAGCAGGGTCAGCCCTGGTTAGTACTTGGCTAGGAGACCACCAATCAAAACCAGGTGCTGTAGACTCTGTTTCAGAAGAAAGAATTGGCAAAAATACCTCTGAGTCTTCCTTGCCTAAGAAAACCCTATGGAATTACTGGGGTCGCATAGGTTGACAGGCGACTTGAAGGCCCATACACACAGAGACTCCTCTTACAGAGTTGATGGTGAAGCTTTCTGACACAGCTAGTATCTCTTCTCCCCTTGCTTCCACCCCCACTCTGCTATTAGTGCTGACCGCATGTTGGGTGGGCCGTTTGCCTCTTGTGGTTTTCCTCTTCTCTTTTTAGCTCTCTCTTAGCAGCTATTGCATCTTGCTGGTGTGAGACAGGAAGGTACCGTACCTCCCTGGTGTGACTGAGCAGGGCTTAAGCTGTTGCCCTCTGAGCAGTCATTGCTTCTTGGGGGATCTTTGATGTGTTTGTGCTATCAGAGGAGCAGATGCCATCTCTTAGCTGAAGCTAGACAAAATGGAAGCAGAGAGGGACATCTGTGAGGAAACAAACAGATTCTTAGGTAAGAAAAGGAAAATGAACTCCAACAGACTTCTTACCAGAGTCTGCCTGACAATCCTTCAACCTGTGTGAGTGCAATTGACCAGTATTTGCAAATGGTCTGTTATATGGCAGCAGTGGTGTAAAGGGGCCAGGGCTTGCAAGGTTGAAGCTCCGGGACTTTTTGATTGGCAGGGATGATTGCATTATCTGCCATCCATGTAGCTCTTCCCCGACCTAGGAGTCCCTTGTTCTCTCTGAATTTAGCTGAGTATACACAGCAATAAGGTTGTTGGTGTGACTTTTCCCAGTTATAATCCAAAGTACAGTGGGCCCTTGGTATCCACTGGGGTTTGGTTCCAGGTCTCCCCATGGATACTAAAATCCATGGATGCTCAACTCCCATTATATACAATGGTGTAATAAAATGGTGTTCCTTATATAAAATGGCAAAATCAAGGTTTACTTTTGGAATTTATATATTTTTGAAAATATTTTCAAGCTATGAATAGTTGAATCTGTGGATACATAGGGTTGGCTGTACTTTATGGTTGCATGGTCATGTATGGGTAATAGACATTTATTTTTACGAAAACAAAAAAAACAAAAAAAAATGTTCTATTGGAGATGGAAATAGATAGAAAAACCATACATTTCATAGATAACAGAAATCTCAATCCAGATGCCTGTAATTTGGGATTATCCTTAGGACTGCCAAGATGAAGGCCTGTGCTCCAAAATGTGCCACTACACCACTGTGTAGCAAGTATATGAAATTATTCTGACAGTGAGCAACAAGAAATGTTGGAATTACCTATTCCTTGGTTCAGTATTCCTCAAACAAGGTATTGCTTGAATGCTACTCCTTCATACTTTTGTTCTGTATCATGTGCGATTTCCCCACTTCTGTCACAGTAAGCAATGGCCTAAACCCCAAGAGCAGGGCTATGTACTTCTCTGCCGAATGTGCTGCTCACACAAAGTGATTAGTTTTCTAGTTATATTTCTGCTGCACAGCAGATGGCAGCAGTTGACTTGAGACAGACATGATGAAATTGCCTTTTCCCCCCTGTAGCCCTAGTTAGTACTTGGATGAGAGACCGCCAATAAATACCAGTTTCTGTAGGCTATATTTCAGAGGAAGGAACTGGCAAAACCACCTCTGAGTATTACTTGCCTAAGAAAACCTTATCAAAATAAATGAGATTGTCATAACTCGACAGGCGACTAGAAGATACATACACACATAAACATAGAATAAGATAGCTATCTCTCTAGCTGTTTTTTCGTAATTATTTAACAATTGCTAGTAGCTGTGCTTAGAGAGCCAGCATGGTGTAGTGGTTTGAGTGTTGGACTATGACTCTAGAAATGAGGGTTCAGATCCCCTCTTGGCCATGAAAATGTGCTGGGTGATCTAGGGGAAGAGGAAGGCAAATGAAAAAACTCTCTCAAAAATTCTCCTTAGGTTGTCCTTCGGGTCACCAGAAGTCCAAAATGACCCGAATTGTATTTGCCCTGATAATGACCATTATGTCATTTGCTCAGTTATGTTTGTAGCTAAGTGAACAGTTTGGAGAACACATGGTGATAGTTGGGATCTTTCAGTGAAAATAGTCAAACAGGGTTCACCAGTTGTCATTTTGAAAGCCATTTTATTGTGGAAAGAAATTATCATGGCTTCTGAAAGGAATAGAAATCAGACCAGTGCAACCCCAGTATACTGGGGAGCCAGTCCAATCCCAGCCAGGTTATTCCAGGAGTGCAACCCCAGCTAGACTATTCCAGTTGTACTCCCAAAAGAAAATAACTTTTCCAAGTTCTGCCCCAAAGTGGAAGATTAAAAAACTCAGATCTAAATGAATGTATTTGGCTGTGAGATTTATCTCAGGCTCTCTAAATGCTTAGTTTGTTAGAAGATCCTGAACATTTAGGTTAATAAGTGATGGTTATTGGCAGTTGACAGTTAATAATTTGAGAAGTCCAGGTCAAAACAAGAAGCCGTTCCTGAGAAACACTGTGGTATCATGAAATGACGATCCCATGTACAACTGGCACACATCAATCTGGCATGAATGACCCAAATCTGCCTTGTCCTCTCAAGAGCTGCAGGGCAAGTTACAATCTGAGCTGGTTGCTCAGGTTGTACCTGTGGAGATGGTTTGTTTTGACTTGGTTCAGACTGAGTAATCCAGTAAAAGGCTCTGGGAACCACTGAGCCATAAGATTCCATGGAACCACCCTGTGAAAAGTAAGGCTGCATCCACACTGCAGAAATAATCCAGTTTGACACCACCTTAACTGCCATGGCTCAATGTAATGGAATTCTGGGAATTGTATTTTGTCGTGGCACCAGAGCAAAGCTCCAACTTCACCTAGTGAGACCTCATCAATTTGTAGAACCATCTATGCTTCTGAAATATTCAGCTTAAGAAAGTAATAAAGGAAACAGTAGGGAAGAAGTAACTTTTCATTACAATCTCCTCTGGATCCTGGTTCATGACAGGATACCTGTCATGCTGTGTGTGGCACAGTAACAAGCGTACCACCTTTTTTTCTCCTTCCCACAGCTTATAATAATTTAATGCTATTTTTCACCAATCTTGGAGGGAAATTAAGTTCTGTTATTGTAGCAACAAGACCTCAGGCCCTAAACACTGTACAGTTTTCTTTTTATTTGCTTTTAACTGACTTATTTGGGATTATTCACACATTTTGTTTTGCAATGTTACTATGCAAATAATCACACTCACACATTCCCAATTTGTTGTTTACAATATTTTTTAAATCGGATCTGCTGCTATGTGCATCTCTGCAAGTTCTGTTGCTCAGATGTGTCAGTGCTGCGAATAAAGATGGAATCGATGATGCAGATGTATTTGAAACATGTTCAAGACATGCAGAGTTTTATCCCAGTTTATCCCTGGGTCAATCTGTATTGGTTATTCACACAACTCACACTGCAAATCTCTCAGGAAAACTAAAAAAACAAAACAAAACACACATACACACACCCCAAAAAAACCTTGAGATCGATTATCCCATGTTTTTGCAGAGGTTTTGGCAGCCCCCACCCAAAACTTAATTGGATGCATTAAAAATTCATGTGAGCAACACAGGTTCAACCCACATTCTACCGAGATTATTTACACCATCATAACCCTTTGGTATGTTGGAGCCCAGAGGGAACATGTTTGCTTGGAATACACAAGCCACTAGGGGGGAGTCCTGTCTAAGTTTACTTGGCCAAATGTGTTTGTTTCCACAGTGAATTGGAAATTTCAAGGATGAAAACTGCTTGACCATCCAACTGTGGGTAGGCATGCAGGTGGTTAAATTATGGTCCTTAGGCCCTGGAAGGAATGAGGGTTGTTGGCAATATGTATCAGATATTATAGGCCAAAAGTTTACTAACATGCAAATAATGAAATGTCTTCAGTCTCCTGGCAACCCAGGCAAAGTTGCCTATGCAAAGTTTTCTGAGTGCATCTTGACTGGGGTTTCTGTACAGTCCTGTACACACAGAGAATCCTACAGTGTGAGCCATGAGCACTCCATAGAGAGGTAACTAGGAAATCAAGGCTGGCTAGGGTCCTTTGACCAAAGTACAGATCCAGATTAGGTAAAGGTAAAGTTAAAGTATTCCCCGTTGACAAGGTTGTCAAGTCATGACCGTAGGGGGTGCTCATCTCTATTACTAAGCTGAAGAGCCAGCATTGTTAGAGACTACTCTGTGATCATGTGGCCAGCATAACACTGTTTATCTTCCCACCAAAGCGGTACCTATTTATCTACTTGCATTTGCATGCTTTTGAACTGTTAGGTTGGCAGAAGCTGGGACTAGTGACAAAAATTCACCCCCTCATGCAGCACCTGGGCCTCAAACTGCCCACCTGCCAATCTTGCACTCAACAGAGTCAGTGTCTTAACCACTTGAGCCACTGCATCCCATACAGATCCAGATTAGGGGATGGGAATCTTTGGCTTTCTAGGTGTTCTGGTTCTATCAACCCATCAGCATGGCCAGTGGTAACAGAATGTGAGTTTGCAGATCAAACCATCTGGAAGTCTGCCTAGAGCTTGGAGAAATGTGAGTTGTAAGTAATTTGTTCAAGCTCTTAAATTATGCTTTCTGATAGTATTCATTAGAGCAACTGAATCTAGTATGAACAGCTCTATATCTTGTAAGATTCCTTTGCGACTTTGATTTCAGCCCAGCTGCCAATTGACAAACACTTTGGAGGTTCATACTAGATTCAGTTGCTCTAATGAGGTTATTGCACAAGCATAAAATGCCGGTTTACCTCTCCTGACTTCAAGTCTAATTCAGGCTGGAGCCGGGTCCTATTGCATGGCTTTCTCCCAAAAAGCCACCATCTGCGTACAGCCAGGCTCCAACACGGCTCAATTAACTCACTCCGGTGGCCATTTTTCAAAGTCGGAAGCTTTGGCACAATCCTGCTTCTCTTCCCACATCCCAGTGAATCCATATCATGGCTATGTCCCTTATATTCTGCCGGTGATTTTCCCTGGTCTATCTCAGATTTGTTAGCTCACTCTATAAAGTCTGAATAGAAAATAGAACCCTTAGACAATGTTTATTGATAAAAAGTGATGTACAGTTAATTGGCTTTGGATAAAAATGCCTTTGACAATATTGTAAAAATAATCATACAAACAAAGTCCATAGGAACCTGCCTTATACAGCATCAGAATCTTGGTATGTCTAGCTCAGTGCTGTCTTTAATGTTTCTACTCTAAAGATTCTCTTTTAACTCAGAGAGGAGTTAAACTTTTAGGGTCCACTTTCCTTTCTTGTTTGCTTAATGTTATTAAGGTTGGCAACATGGTGCCCTTAGTATGCTTCTATTAGAGCTCTCATAATCTACAATCATGCTGGCTAAAGCTGAAGGAAACTGAGCTTCATCCAGACCTTTGGATTAGACCTTTGAATGGGAACTCCATGACATGCATAGAGAGGAGAGAGGAGGTCCAATTCTCCTGTCCCAAAGTGGTGCCTCACAGCAGTTGTATTGGAGTATGTTTAGGACTTGAGTTTAAGAACCTTTCCTACATTATGGAGCCCTGGCAGTGCAGTGATTAGATGACAGGACTGCAGCCACAATGTTGTGAGTTTGATCCTAGGGGCTCCAATGTTGACTCAGCCTTCCATCCTTTCGTAGGTTGGTAAAATGACTACTCAGCTTGTTGGAAGCAATTGACTTACATGTTGTAAACCACTTAGAAAGTGTTTAGTTCACTGTGAAGTTGTATAGAAATGTAAATACTAAAATGCTATTACTATTTGCTTTCCCCGCCTTTTGTCAGTGCCCACCACATAAATAAATACATAAATAATTGTTGAAGAAACAACAGAACCTGAGTTGGGTTGCTTGTCCATCCACCTCCCACTCCCATTCCCACTCATTCCTTTGATAAGCATGTGATTCCTTAGAAACTCAACAGGTGAAGCATTCTCCACCCTCTGCCAATAGGATACCCAGGAAAGAGAAACCTGTTGAATTTCTGTTTGCTATGCAGCTGCCAAAATCAAGGAGGGAAAGAGAGAGAGAAAGAGAGAGAAAGAAAACTGTTGAGCCAAGTGTGACTTCTTTGCTTATAGGCTGAAGATTACGATGACATGAATCCACACAGAGACCTCTTGACCAATGGTTCTCAAACTATGGGGTGGGTGCTCTGGGGGGGCATGAGACTAGGATGCCCTGATATTCTCTCCTCCTTCTCTGCCTAAGGGAGGAGAAGCAGAAGGGGAGCTGTTTCTTTACAAAATGTTACAATATGAATATGCATGAAAATGTGAATGAAAATATGCATACTAAACAAATAAAATATCTTTATTAATATACTACCTTGAGTGGGGTGGCACAACATCCATATGTAGATGTAAAGAGGGCTCACAAGGGCAAAAAGTTTGAGATCTACTGCTCTTGACCATCCAAACGGTCAATACATACATAAAAGACTAAAGTGGTGGATACTCCATTGATGGTTGTTAGGGTAAATACCATAGTGAGGTGGAAGAGTTCACCAACCAGATTTGGTGCCTCCTATGTGGCATCAGAATATTAGGGCAAACCCCATGCCAGGCAACATTCTCAGAAATGCCATTCTATTAGAGTTTGACGTCAATAGGGTGTGACATGTACACTGCCTGTGGCCCAGCGAGCTAAACAGGTTAGTGCCCTGTTTGAATCTCCACAAAGCTGCAGCTGATGTGAAGAAATTGTGCAGACACCATTAAGACCTACTGTCCTTCAGGTGGAAAGGAGGAGAACAACATCTGTCCAGTTCATAACAATCATCCCAGTTCAAGATATGTACAGGGAGAATGAGTGTCATTGGATTCTGTGAGACAATGGATGTTGTCACAAATGAT